CTTTCCCTTGATTCCCATGGGCCTGCACCAAGGAACAGTTTTCATCAGCTTCTCTAAATCAGAACATTACCAGGAATCCCTCAGTGGGTAAGTGTGAGTTTAAATTTGATCTCAATGCAATTCTAGTAACTGCAGTGAAATTACTAAAATAAACATTTGGAGGGAGGGTGGGGGAAACAACAAAACAACAAACCATAAATCCAGACTGAAGCATTACTTTATACTACAGCAATTCAGCTATATGTAAAATACATGCATTAGAATAGGCTTTTACCTTTGTTTTGTATCATGGAGTAAACATTTTAATGTGATAACTTACTGAAAAAGGGAAATGGGTTTAAATCTGTGGCTAAGCCTACTAAAATGGTATAGTAGAAATTATGAATGTACATAAGCAGCACCATTCATGGAATTGTTTGGTTGGAAAAGACCATCAAATATTTATGGATAACTTATACTTATTTTCCTCTATCTCTTCAGCTATCATTCAGTCAAATTGTTCATACCAGGCTATCATCTACAGTGGTTTCTCAAGGCTGTACGAATTCCACTATGTGTCTTCTCAAAACAGATGCATGTGGATCAAGGCACAAGCAACAAGGAGAAAAGGAGCCGTGCTGACAACATGAGTACAACATGCAGAAAAGAACACTTTCCTGTCCTTGAAGAGATGGCATGAGGGTTTGGCTTGTATGAGATACCAAGATATGCTTCTGGAGCTGAGCTATACAGTCTTCAGAAGACATCCAGGTTCTACACATTTGATTTTACAAAGCCAGAGGTATTCAGGAGCATGGAGTACAGACCATACCCATTCGTTCCCAGTTAGAGCTCTGACCAGAGAATTCAGGAGTGCCCTCAGCTGCCTGCTTTTTCCAAGTTTGGTAATGTCCGTTGGGAGTGACTGTGCAAATAGGGCTCAGAGTTGTCTTCTTTTGCTGTGGAAGAGGCAACTATTTTTGGTTTCCTCTATTTAGAGAGACCAAAATTTGATCTGAGGCATTTAATCCACCATCATCAGGCTTGAGTTCTACTACTTTCTGTGTCTTTGCTAAAAAGAAGTTGATCAGTCAACACCCTTCACTGAGCCTTTCTTATATACGTTGATCAAGAGGCAGTTGCAAAATTGTAATTAAGCAAGAAGCTGTCACATGTCATTCCATACTGGGTAGCTGTGACTGCTCAACTGGAAATACAGAGAAAGGGAAACATTGAGATTTCAAGGTCATGCATCAATAGAATGCACCACAATTTTGTTTATATCCCAAATTATGTGTATATGTGTGTAAATACATCTACACCACCATACACATATATAAATTTATGTATAAAACATAAGCAAGTACACACTCACATGCTGCCTGTTTACAACAAAAAACAACAAAACAAAGCAAAAAAACTCTCCAAATATTAATTTTATCACTGTGCTATCCAGAATACCTTCAGCACTACTTCTTTTTTAACACAAAAAGGCCGAACATAACTTCATCATATTGAAATTTTTGTTTAAATAACCATTAGAGGTTTTTCACAGGGTTAAATCAGAATAACTTCTCAAAACCGGAATACAAAATAGTTGTGCTAATGCAGAAGCTCAGGGGGCAGTCATTAAGGCTTTTTAATAACTCTGTTCTCTACTGATTTGCTGTAGCATTTATTGAGTTCCCCCTCTACACACCTCCCTTTTATCATGAAAATACTTAAAAGTGCAAAACATGGTGCTCAGGAGTGTCATTCACATCTATATCCTGGAACAGTGAAGCAATGTAGTTTTGTTTATTAACTGAAATTAGCTTTGCATTTCAGGTGGAAGTGACTGTTTTACCTGAATTCAGACTTGTTATGCATAGTCTCAGATGGGGGTCTTTGTGATAAGGCATCTGAAAGTTCGCAAAACTACGGAAATACACGTTTTATCATAATATGTTATTTCCAGTGAAGCAGTCTTATTTGAAGTGCACATATAGTAGGACAGAATTTTCCAATTAAAATAATATATATATTTCCATGTTACAGTATGGAAACAACAAATATATATTGCTTGCAAAAGACCAGAAGTAAATGCAGTTTTCATTCAGCATTGAAAAGGAAGAAAAATTCCAGGGAAACTAAACCACGCATTAGAAGGTGCTGACTGCTCAGATCTGAAAGAAAGTATTAAGAGGTTAAGTCCATCCTTTAAACTCTGCTGACATCCTTGGTCAATGGTCCTCTGTGTGGGTAGTACGGATTTCTTATAAACAATAGCACACAAGATTTTTAAAATACTGACACTTTCTTACTACTAGGAAGCTTTACAAAATCCTACCTTTTTTGGCAGCTAAACTTGGATGTCCCATAACCCAAGTCCATGGCTCTCCAGCAATCTCCCGCTCACTCATTCAGCCACCACTTCCACTTTGGGAAGTCATATTGCCTAGCTAAACCCACAGAGCTGTTCACACCTCAGCTTTTGGCAACATAAAAATGCATCTCCTTGCCCAAAGGCAGCAACTTGGTAAATCCGCAGTAGTGTAGATCTGGTTCCCAAACCTCAAGCACAGGACAGAGCACACTGGCTGCAGAGGTTTGCTACCTCTCAACCAGGCCAGAGGACGAAGGGCAAGCTCTTCTCAGCGCACACACAGAGTACTGTGAGCCTCAGCTTGTCATTTTTGCTAATACAGTTCCCCTGACTTCTCTCATCGTTAAAATCACTTGTATCTCAATGTCTATTTTCCCCAAGTTCGCTTGCTCTAGAGCTGCCATACTGACAGTTAACCTCAGGAAGATCTGTTCATTTTCTGGAAAAAAAAAAAAAAAGAAAAAAAGAAGAAAACCCCCCACACCACCACCACCACCCAACAACAAAAACCTACACCGAAAAACCAAACCACTAAAAACCCCACAAAACCAAAAAACGGATAGCAAATGAAGTAGGTGTACTTAAAGTGCCCATAAATGATAGTGATTCTCATACCAGTTGTGAATGTTTTGTTCCAGGTGACGTTTCAATTCAAAGTAAATCATCAAAGGCTACATTCTTATCTTCAGTCTCTGTTAATAAGGGCTTTATTTTATCATTTTTCTGTATTCTCCTAGACATTGTTCAGCTATACGGTGAAGAGCAAGTCTTTTACCTCTTAAGTTCCAAATGCTCTGGAAATGCTCACAA